CTCTCCCTCAGAAGCCTTCATATCTTTCCTTGGGCTCCAGAAACATTTTGCTCAAGGGAAATGGGAAGGGTGGATAATTAGCTTATCAATTGCTCCAGTTGTCAGTATTATGATATATAAAATCTACCAGGTTTCCCGTAACTTGAAATTTGCAGATGATAGCAATCAGTCTTTTGTCGGCTTTGCATAATTTGATTTGGGCTCATATGGATCCACTACTTTGGGAAGAATAGGGAAGTTTCACACTAGGATCTCCTTGGGTTCCGACTAATGAGTATCCTCATCAAATGCCAAGTCTTTGAAGGAGCTTAAAACACCTGGAGGCAAAATCCAGAATTTTATAATAAGCTCCCCCCACCAAAATGAGAAACAGAAGCCCCTAAAATATTAGAAGATCTTGCCAGCTTATTCAAATCTGGTTTTATTGATCTAGAGGAAATACAGTGTGAGAACTCAGCAGGAGGAGATCACAACGTGTTACTCTACCCAAGTAAACAAGTAAACACAAGGGATGGGTGCAGGTTGTTACCTGTGGTCCAGGACAGTGGGCGAGCAGCACCAGGGTCTACAGAAGTCCACTCAGAGCTCCCAGGAGCAGCAGGTGGCCAGAGAGAGGGACCAGCTCAAAGCCCATGTCCAGCATCACGACTGAGCCTCTCTCTTATCACCCTTGGAGAATCCCACCTCATTCCCCTCTGCCCTTTCCCCAGAAAGCAGAAAGTACCCAGGACCTGAGTGCGGGATGGGGGAGTGGGGGGCTCAAAGTTCCCATACCCTCTCCAATTCTCTCTACTATTTATAATAAAAAGCATTTTTGTCAATATAACAGAGCATATAAATGCTCTATAAACTTCAAGTAATACAGAAATTTTTAAAACTAGATATTTCCCATAATGTGATGCCTCATGCTGCCCAAGAGACCCTAACTTAACAATTTAAAGACACTTCCAGACTTTTCTTCATTTCTGTGTATATTCATACACACATAATTAATAGAATATAAATGGAATGCCGGGCACGGTGGTGCCCGCCTGTAATGTCAGTGGCTCAGGCTGAGAAGGATGATCACGAGTTCAAAGCCAGCCTCAGCGAAGGCAAGGCGCTAAGCAACTCAGTGAGATCCTGTCTCTAAATAAACTATAAAATGGGGCTGGAGATGTGGCTCAGTGGCCCAGTGCCTGAGTTCAATCCCTGGTACACCCCCTTCCCAAAAAAAGAATATAAATGGAAATATTTTTCTGTTGTAAAAAATGTAATTTTACAACGTATTATGTTCTTAACATGCTTTCGTATTTAATATAGTAGGTGTTCAATAAAAATTTATTACATAAATGAGCCATAATTTACTGATTCAACCCCCTGTTGGAGGACTTTTAGGTTGTTTACAGCCATTCAGTAAACATGACTATATATAAAAGATAGGGTTGAGGAGCTGGGGTTTTGGCTCAGCGGTAGAACACTTGCCTAGCCTGTGTTGAGGCACTGGGTTCGATTCTCAGTGCCACATATAAATAAAATAAAGGTCCATCAACAACTAAAAAAAATTTTTAGAAGATATGGTTGAAATACAACAGGTACAGAAACCAATGCCTAGCTGCATTAGTAATTACATGTGTAAATATACTAATAAAACACAGGTGCTGTGGAGAAGTAGCTTGCGTGCCCTCTGGTGTATTTCATGGAGATCCCAGGAATATGTTAATAAATTAGCCTCAAAAAAGACAACTTTCAGACAAGTGTTTGTGGACTTGGGAATAAGGGGTAGCTCTCCCACGTCGCACAATATAACACATTGTTAAGTGTTATATTGTCTTTAAGAGCTCAGCACAGCAGCTGAGCTAAGATAAGACCCAAAATCCAACAGTCCTGATGAAGGGCAACAACTCATTTTAGATAGAACAGGAAAGAAAATCTGCTTCAAGTTCTTTTTAGGAGAGGAAGGGAGGAACCATTGGGGGTTGGTGTGGGGTGAGGGAAGGAGAGAACAGGAAATGCAAAATGCTGTTTCCTCCTGGTTACTTGGACTGCTCTTGTCGGATTCCATGGTGTTGGGTGGCAGGGCTTTTAAAAGACATAATATTATGACACATTGACTTCCTTTACTGGTTCCTGGGCCTCAACACACAATGGTTCCTTCCTGCCACAAGCCTGAGGCTTGGCCACTCCTGGATCAGTCCCAGGGAGCCTGAAACAGCCCACAGCAGGAAAGCAAGGATGCCACGTCCCTGGGCATTGCCATCACGTTTGCCACAAGTCTACCCAACAGTGTCCACGGAGTGTAGGGGGCAGCAGTGAGGTTAGTGACATTGCAGGTTGAGCACGGTGGCTCACGACAGCCCTGGGGCGCAGCTCAGCCCTTGCCTGGGCCTGAGGACAGTCACACCAAGCCCCGGATGAGACTGACTATCATGGTGGCTGTGCCAGGGACAGGACACCCCACTCCGTGGCCCCCACAATGACAGGGGAAAGAGGAAAGGGGCTTTTTTGACTTTTCCTTCTTTAAAAAAAAAAGTGCTTCAATGGGACCCTGTAGGTCTGGGAACACAGTCTGGGCGCTGGTGGACAGAGAGGACAATAGGCCAGGGACCCCGTGCATAATGCCAGGAGGTAGAAACCCAGACCGCGGTGCCGGAGACTGGGGTTGGGGCAGCGGGGGAGCGGATGCGATAGCAAGGAAGGAGTTTCACTGTGAATGAATACTAATTAGTGACATGGATATTAATGATGACAGTAATTAACAGGGGAAAGGAAGGGCTGTCATTGTCCCAGGGTGAGTAATCAATCTTGGCAGGTGATAAATAATGGTTCGGCAAGCTCAGCAGAAAGATAATCCGCTGGCCCCAGGGAGAGCCGGAGTGATGCTGGCAACCTCGCGGTTTCCAGGCAACCCACAAAAAAGAACTATTTTTCTTTTGAGGAAAAAAAAAAAACAGGTTAGAGCCTCACCCCGACCTCCAACTTGGGATTACAGTTCTTCTTTGATTTCTGCTTTGTTCTTCATTTCCTAGGACAAATGTTGAACTTGTGTAATTTGGAGGAAATGAACGTGCACGCACGCATGCGTGTACACACACCCACCCCCCCCCCACACACACACACACTCTTTGTGTCAAAATGCAAATGAATCGGCGTGTTTCTGGTCCAAGGGTTAGCTCATAGATGCCATCCGGGAGCAGGGGTGGGGAGAAGCTTAGAAGTCCCTCTTTTGAGGTTGAAATGCAGGGACATTGAAAGGACTGATCAGGGGAGGCTGGACCTGGGGAGAGCCCAGGAAGAGTGGGGTGGACCCTGGCAGCTCTACAGAGCGGTTAGGCCACCTTCCTCAGAGCCAGAGAGAAACAGAGGTCCAGATGCTGGAGCCTGCACGGGTCCTACTTCTCTGGCCACCAGTCAAATCTCTGAGAAATTTGATTTCTGGGAAAAGGGAAATGCTTGGTAAGCCCCTCTGCTGGGTCTCCAGTGGGCCAGCAGGGAGTCTGACCCAGCAGAGCGACTGGCAGACCCTGTCCCTCGCGCCAAGGCCCCCGACCCTAGCAGGACTCAGATAGCTGGAGATGACGCTCCTTCCAGGCTGTTTCCATTAAGCATTCCATGCTGAGGTGACAAAGCCATCTTCAGTGGTCCTCTCACTGTAAAGTGAGATCTTTGAGTGACAAATCGTTATGGGACCTTCCAGAAAATCTTCCACTCTCCTGTGCTGTGTTTCTCTTAGAATGTGGGTTCTAAGTGTACGTCTCCAAAGGCAGGCAAAGAAAGGGACATATTCAAAGGACCATGGCCAAAATGGCGAGGAGCTCCAGGTCAGGCAAGGCCGCCCCTGCCCTCAGGGATCCAGGCAGGTTTCCCCTGGAGAGAGACCTTGGGGGTTCCCCAGGACAGTCCAACATCCCAGTGACTGGTCTCACTCAGTGATCAGGTCTGGGGTCAGGTTTGATTTTCTCTCATTGGAGAGTAAAACTAAGGCCAAAGCAGGGAAGGGAGAGAGGGGGGCAACTTTCCATTCAGAGAAATCAAGGACCCCTTACCTGGAACAGGCTGGTTAGTGGGGAATTTGTGAGTTCCCAGGTGCTAGGTTTTTTCCCAAATGCAGGTTACAGCACCTGTTATCCCAGGTGTTGTGTACGTGTACAGGGTGAAAGAGCAGACAAGTAAGTCCCTGCTGACTCGGGATTTTATATTTGTTAAGATAACACTAGATGCTAAAGCAGATTAAACCTCCAAATTCCAGGGGCTTAACCCAGTGAAGTTTAATTCTAGATCAAGTAAGAGCCTCAAATGAGCATTAATTTTCATGGTTGGAACCAGAGCTCCTTCCATATTGTGGCTCCGCCTCCCTCAGGTTCTCAGGTGCTCTCCATCCAGTGGTGGGCCAAGGGAAGTGGGTGTAGGGGTGGAGGGCTACCTATTTCTATGGTCTAGGTCTGGAAGCTGCAAGTGTCATTTTTATTCACATTCCTTTGGTAGAACTTGATCCACACCCAGCTTCAGGGGAGTCTGGAAATACAGTCCCGCTCAGGCCCAGTGGTATAAGGAAGAGGTTTTGGTGAACACATGGAAATTTCCGCCACAGACCCCCGGGGCACATGATTCAAGATGGGCCCATGCCAAAAGAGATGAGAGAGTTTTACAACTCTCTGAGGTCACCTGTGTCAAGCAACCCTTGTCGGTAAAGGTAGGAAGCTGAAGAGTCCTCAGAAAGTGCTCTGGGGACCCACATGATGAAGTCACCCTCCCATCTTTGTTCCCAGGAAGCCTTCTGTAATTTCTCCCTAGAAATGTGGATATAACCTGAGTCATCCAAAGTGAAATTTTTTGGAAACGAAAGTAACTGAAAATGTACCAGTGGAAGAAAAGGGTTGAGTAAGGATGGAAAATATTCAATATAATCCGCATCTTAGGTTGGCTGATTAAAATTAGGATTCTCTCAGGTACACACGTTTCTTCTGTCACAGGCTTAAACACCCATGAGGTCTTCAGTGGAAACTGCTTTGTCGTTGCAGGTACTGACGTTGTGCAGTGGCTCATGAAGAACCTTTCCATCGAGGACCCAGGTACTTGACCCTTGACCCCTGTTACCAGCAAACTGGGATCTCTCCTGCTTACCAATGTGAATTGCTGGATGTGAAATCACTCTATTTACAAATAAAATTAATATATTTTCTCCACTGAATATCTATCTTCAAATTTAAATCACCCTTTGAGGAAATGAGCAACTATTTAGAATGCCAAAGAGCTCGATACATTAGCGTGTGAAATGAGATGAATTCTCGTTAGCTGCAGCAATTAAAGATAAGTTGTAGCACTGTCACTTAACAGCCTTCTAGAGCCAGCTCTTAAAATTAGATTGCCTGATCCACAATTAAGATGTTTAATTATTTGCTAAGACGCCTTCTGGTTTTTTTTGTTTTTGTTTTTGTTTTTGCTTCTTGCAAGAAGTGAAGGAATGGTAGTTTTGTTGTTGTTGTTGTTGTTGTTTTGTTTTGTTTTTTTAATTCTAATTGTGCATTTCAATGAGGAGAACCCTGCCAAAACAACAACAAAACCCTGGCTAATAAGACAGTTTCCAAATCTGTCCTCTCCCCACCCAGGAAAGAAGCAGGAAAATTAACTTTCAAAGCCTAATTAGGAAATGGGAGGACGACTCCAGAAAAATGAAAGTTCTACATAAGTAGAGCTGATTATCCACATGCTATTAGTTAATAATTTTTTAATTGATCCTACACTCCCTTGGTCTTGCTTAACCAGGTATTCTTAATGCCCAAAGTCATAAGTTCCACTGATGTGAATCCAGGCTGATGTTCTTGATGGACACTGGCACTGATTGGAATTATTTGCCCCAGTTTAAGTGGCCCTCAATCACCATGCTTTCTGAGGGCTTTGTGTCCCCCCCCCCCCCCAGTGCCCACCCTCGGTGTCTGACCTTCAGATGTGGTTCCTTGATGGGATCAGGATGTCATCTCTGACATTCTTGCATTTTAACCTGACAGTCCTAATCTGCTGTTGACTATGAAACAATTTATCTTCAGTTCAGTTAAATATGGTTGCTGGAAATCTGAGTGCCAGGAAAGTGGGTCATTTGTGGAAGTGACCCTAGGCCTCTCACTATTGTTCAGTGTCCGCTTACAACTAGCAAAAATCCTTAATTCTGGTCAAGTTCTTAATGCACCAGAGAAAAATTATAAATGCTAGTTCTTCTAAAGGGTGGAACCCACCTATGTGCTTCTCCTCTGCAGCCTGGACATCCAATTATCCATTCATGAAACTGGACAGGATAAGCAGCCATCAGCAACCACCAGTTTGGTTACATTTATTTGACACCAGTGGTTCTTTTGATGATGGTGGTCTTGTCAAAGAGCACTGGTTTTATGTTGTTGTTCTTTTGGTTTTGTTTTTGTTGTTGTTGTTGTTTGGTAAAAGTAGTTGTTTACTTAACTTATAAATCAAAGGAGACTTTAGAACAAATGAAGATTTGAATAAATCTTAACTCTGGTAGGACTTCATTTTTTTTTTAAGCAATTAAAAATACAGTAAAATCATGGGCTGGGGTTGTGGCTCCGTGGCCGAGCACTTGCCTAGCATGTGTGAGGCACTGGGTTTGATCCTCAGCACCACATAAAAATAAATAAATAAAATAAATATTTCCAACTACAACTAAAGAAAAATAATTTTTTAAAAAAAGTAGTGAAATCGGCAGAAAACAAATAGTCTTTAAAACAAAAACACTTTGGTTTTTTTATTTGGTCTTTTTAGACATATATGACAGTTCACATATTATACATACATGGAGTATAACTTCCCATTCTTGTGGTTTTGCATGATGTGTAGGTAAACTGGTCATATATTCATATATGAAAGTTAGTCCAGTTCATTCCACTGTCTTTCCTATTCCCATTCCCTCTCCCTTCCCTTCATTCCCCTTTGTCTAATCTAATGAACTCTTATTCTTCCCTCCCCACCCCCTTATTGTGAGTTAGGATCTGCATATTGGAGAGAACATTCAGCCTTTGATTTTGGGGGGGATTGGGTTATTTCACTTAGCATGACAGCCTCCAGTTCCATCCATTTACCAGCAAATGCCATAATTTCATTCTTCTTTATGGCTGAGTAATATTTCATTGTGTATATGGACCACATTTTCTATACCCATTCACCTATTGAAGGGCACCTAGTTTGGTCCATGGCTTCGCTACTGGAGCACTGGTTTCTTTACTCTTCTGAAATAATCATTGTATTTTTGATACATATTTTATTGTTTATTATTATTGTTATTTTGAGAACCCTATCCCGGGTAGTAGAGGTGAGAATGCTCTGGGCCTCATGAGGAGTCTCTGTGCCGGGCCTGTCTGTGAAGGTCTGTGAGACTCCAGTGCCCAGGGGACCTGGTTTGGGCTTCTGAGCGGCTCGGGATTGGCCAGCTGGGTACAGAAGGGGGCAGACCAAGCAGCACCTGGGGAGCGAGGTGTGTCCAACACCTGCCTGCGGCTCCTCTGTTTCTTCTCTTTTGCCAAATTTCTGAGTAAAAACCTTTTTTCAAAGAGTTTAAGCATAAGCTCCAATACGGGTGGCATGAAGGCCACCTTCTTCCTGTATCGTTTTCTTTCATCCCTGGGAAAGGAGCAGCTGCAGCTGAGGAGGAAGCGTCCCTTCTTGCTGGACCCATTATTCTTGAATCACACAGTGGGCCTTCCATTTCGGCAAGTCTGTGTCCACAGACTCCACCAACCTGGTGGAAAACAGTCAAGGGGAAGGAAACAGCACCTGTACTAAACCCGCACAGACTTCACTTTTTGCCATTATTCCCTAAACGACACAGACTGACAACTAGTAGCATACCGTGGACATTATATTTGGCATTATAAGTAATCTAGAGATGATTTAAAGTATAGGGAGAATGCACAGAGGTTATACACAGATATTATGCCTTTTCATACAAGAGAATTGAGCACCCACAGCTTTTCAATCTGCTGGAGTCCTGGAACAAATCCCCCACTGTTACCCACAGTTACCGAGGGGCAGCTGTTTAGAACTTAAAAAGCAAACTGGTCATCCCAAGAAGTAAGACTCCATGCATTCCGAACCCACCAGTTGTAAGTGTACACGTCTCCCAAAGGGGAATAGATGATTCTCAATAAGTAGAGCATCTGGATCAGATTCAACCTCTTGAAGAGTTCACAGGTAAAGCCAAAACAAATCACTTTTAAAAATCCAGAGCTTATGAAATTAATAATTGCTAAGAGACTCCCTCAGCATGTCAGTCATTTCCATGTCCAGATATTGCTTTTCAACCAATGAAAGTACTCTGAGGTTTGTAGACACTTCTTATGTGTAGGAGGGGCATTTAGGTTGAGGTATTTTTTCTTAGCTCTGCGTAGGATAAAATATAAATTCTTAACTATCAATAGGAATCTATTTAGGACTGGTGCTAAACAAGAAGTCGATGTTACCAAATATATATTTCCTTCAGTTTGACAACCCCCCCCCGCCAGGGTCACTGCCCAAACTATTGTCCTTCTTCCAATTTTCTTAGAAAGTGAATTTTTAATCTATGCCCACGAGAGAAGGGGAAACACTGTCACCACTGATGAGAGTGTTGTTTGCAGGACTGTAACAGGAATTCACAGTCCCCGTGGGCAGCGGGGCCGAGTCCTCACTGCCCAGGGTGATAAAACAAGATGAAGCGAGGCCATGAATCAAAGCTGCCTGCCCTTATTGAATATTTGCCCTGTACCAGACACCACTAAGCACTTCAAGTGAAATATCTCACTTAATTAAATACAAGTTCATCTATGCCAGTGCTCATGTTCGCAACCATGAAGCAAGACCTGGCTTTCTCCCGGAAGATTGTAGGGGTAGGAAGTCGACAATTATCAGATTTTCACAGCTGGGACCCAGAGGACCCCCCAGCCCTTGACCATCCTCCTCCTCTGTGGGCGTCTCCCCTCCCGCGCCACCACCAGCAAATGCAATCACGACATAAACACAGTCGCCTGGAGGGGAGGACCCTTGACAGCCAGTCATCTTGCTGCTGCTCTGCCCTTGTATGTTTCAACGAAATCATCCGCTTCCTGATTCTGTCTGTCTCTCTGCAGTTGAAGCAATACACTTGGGAAGCCTTATCGCCGCCCAGGGCTACATCTTTCCAATCTCCGATCATGTTCTCACCATGAAGGATGATGGTACCTTCTATCGTTTCCAGGTAGGCCCTGGGGCTCCTCCTCCTCAAGCACCTTTTCCCACTTATCATCATCTGAACTCAGATCAGAACCACCTAGAAAATCTAAGGGTGTTCAAGGAAGCAGCATTGGGAAACCCATCCGTCTGGGCCACGGGTTGACCCACTGAATAAGCGTAAAAGGCGCTCACTGAGAGCCTACTGCTTCAGAGGCATTGCCTAAGCCTTTAGGGTTGCTGTAACAGAATACCATCGACCGGGTAGCTTATAAACGCAAGAACTTGGTTTTGCATAATTCCGGGGGCTGGGAAATCCAAGATCAAGGCTGCAGCAGGTTTGGTCTGGAGAAGGCCCACTGTTTTACAGAGGGCACCTTCTAACTGTGTCCTCCTACAGTGGACGGGACAAGGGATCTCTTCCAAGCCTCTTCTACAAGGGCACTAACCCTGCTCAGGAGGTTAGTGCCTCATGACCTCCTCACCTGGCAGAGTCTCCCAATACCATCGCCTTGGGGAGTAGGATTCATTCATGGTGAAGGGTGGGCACCAACATTCAGGCCATAGCAGACATGTTGCATGTATTTTCTCACTTATTCTGATGGACAAACTGTTGGGGAGGGGTAAATATTGCTCATTTTACAGACCAGAACCTGGAGGAGCCCAGAGAATTGATGTGGCCCTCGTGAATCTAGGAGGCAGCTTTGCGTTGGGCCTAGATGACCATGCTCCTCCTTCATGCTGGGGTGAGGTTTCTACTTACGCTGCCTCCCCCAGACCCTGCCTGAGAGGGAACAGGGGCACAGATGGTATTAGAGGTCTTCAGTGGGTTCAAGGGCAAAAAGGAAGCCAGGCCGTGCACCCGAGAGACTGCCAGCCTCTGTCTGGTTATTAGACGCCATGTGTTTCCAGATAAGAATTCTTGACTTCATCCTGCCTCCTAAAAACAGTGTGTTTTAAAAGACCGTATGTGAGAAATCATTGGTAAATATAAAATGATATTAAATGTTATATTATTTTTCTCCCTTTTTGGAGACATCCAACCCTCCAGGTCTGATAGCCAAATAAGGAATTAATTTAGTGACATAGAGCTGTTCAGTCATATAACTGCTGCTACAGGTTCTGCATACCATCTCATGATGTTAAATAACATAAAATAGAATAAGTAAAAAAAGATTGTGTCCTCTGGCCCAAGGTTGCCAAATTTAGAGGATTAAAAATACAGATATGCAGTTTAATTTTAATTCCAGATAAACAATAAATATTTTAAGTATAAGGATGCCCCATATAATATTCAAGTTTAAAACAGGCACATGGTCTGTATTTTATGTGGCAAGGGTACTTTGCCTCAATAAACAATAAAAAGCCTCTTAAAAAGAGATTATTGTCTGCCTCATAAACAAAATTTCTTGCTTTTGCATTTACTTTGCTTACCTTGGATTTTATTTCTCAACCCCTAGATTAAATTGTTGACTGGCCTCAGCTATGTCAAAGGGTTGGGTGTGGAGTCAGCCAGGAGATGGGCAGAGGCCTGCTGTGGAGAGGGCCCTGGTGGGTGCAGAGAGGCGGGTGTCTCTAGGTACTGATGCTTAGTACTCTCTTACAGGCTCCTTACTTCTGGCCTTCCAACTGCTGGGAACCTGAGAACACTGACTATGGTGAGAACTGAAGCCACACTCACCTTCCTGTTACCCCCAGAGGGCAGAAGACAAGTGCCTGGGAAGGAAGGGTTTTGACCCTGCTTAACCCTTTCTGATGTTGTTGACATTGAAAATACTGAAAGATGCAGTCCCTTGGGAGAAAAGACACAAAAGGGAAGAAAAGTTAGATCAAGGGTTGTCAATAAGTTCATTCTGCAGGACCATAGAGAACTAGGATCCCGTGGCAGTGCGATGTGACTGTGACTTTTGATCAATCCTTCCAGGAGCAGGGTTTCAGGGAGGGCTGGATCAAGGAGCCACCTTCCCCTGTCCCTTCCTGTTCTCACAGACTTGTCGAAACTTACTAAGAGCTCATCAGTGTTTTTCATAGTTGTAATTGAGGGGAAAAGGAAGACAGACCAAAGGGGAGTCTACAGATGTCGCCTTAGACTAGGGAAATAAAAAGAGGGTGAAGTCAAAAGCTACGTGAAGTAAAGAGCCATATCTATCCAGGCAGGGATCTACCCAACTCAGTGGAGGCTAATGAATATTTCTATGTAACAATTTTCTGAAGAAATTATACTGTCCCTATACTTAACATAAAGAACCGGAGGCCCAGGAAGACCATGTCCCCCACAATCACATTAGTCTGAAGTCTCCGTTGGCTTTAAGCCAAAGAGGGCAGAGAGCGGCCCACCTCACCATCACTGCAGGCCCAGCGCGTGGGTGTGGAGGGGGACAGGCCATGGGGCGAGCCACTGCCTGGTGAGGCTGCGCTTGTTCTAGTCTGGAGGGTGCTCATGACATGGCCAGGGCCCTCAGCTGTCTGCTGGGCTGTCTGCCGGCCCCTCGGTGGCCCTGGGAGAGCACCGTGCACAGGTTCCTGGGAGGTGTGGGGCCAGCAAGGCTCAGGGCAGGAGCTGCATTTGGCCATCACAAAGCAAGCGCTTCTGGGCCTGAAAGACTGGCAACAGCCTGACTCAGAATTTGAATAATTAGAGCTCAGCTCGGGCAGCAGCCTGGGCCCTTGTGAACCGGAATCCAATATTTTCCCGGGCAGTGGAGGGTGGGAGGCGGTTGAGATGGTAGGGGGAGGCCAAGACCAGCCTCCTGGGCCACATCCACGCCATCTTCACTATGTTATGAAGGACACTCTTTCCCTTTCTGTACCATTTTCCCCATTTCGTGATCAAGTGGAGATGAACAGAGATAGAAATGACTGTTTATGTCAGGCTCTCATCAAAGCTACATTATTTTGAATTCATGTGCGTCCATAGATAGCAAATCAGGTAAAGTTGAGGTGTGGGAGACAAAAGGACTCACCAATATTTCCAAATCCATTTATCCAGAAAATCAATGAGTACTGACCAAGTCAGAATTCAGTACGACAGGCCCCAGGATCCACCAGCTCCGTTGGCTGTGTGAGCCTGGGAAGTGGCCTGACCTCTCTGTGCCTCAGAAACCTCACAACCAAATCAGAGGGAAAATATTGCCTGTCTTCCAACGTTGCTTTGTTAGGGTCCTGGGAGAAGTCAGTGCTGCCCTGTGGTCACTGCTGTGGTGGCCCTGGTTGGAATGGTTGCTCCTGCGTGGTGTTATGATCCTCCCATGAGGAAGGGTGTGAAACTCTGGTAAGGATTTCAGAATCTCGGTGATTTGGATTGATGAAAACCCCCAGAAACGTTTATTCATTCAACAAACATTGACTGATCACTGACTGTCAATTTCCGGGTCACAGATTTGACCAAGTCACAGTGTTGCCTGCCCAGCGGGCCAGGCTGGGAGAGACAGCACAGAGGGGAAGAAGGGAGAGGGGAGGATCTGGCCTGAGCATTCCAAAGCTGCATGGTGATGAGGCCGATGGAGGAGACAGAGTGGGGGAGGGGCGGGTGATATGAAGGCCTCGACAGTAGACATCATTAGAATGGACCCCAAAGCTTTGGGAGCCATTGTGGGTCCCCAGCAACGAGGAAGACTTGAGACACCCCCTCATGGTAAAATAAGGATAATAACTGAAAACCCCTTCTTGGCGTCATCATGAGGATTTCATGAGTGGACATTTGGAAAGTCCTTCAGACTGGGCAAGACTGTCACTGCACTCAGTCACGGTGGCCTCACACCTTTGAGACAGTGCCTGGCACAAGGAGACAGAGCAGTTTTCTTTCTTTCTTTTTTTTTTTTTTTTTTGGTAAAGGGGATTGAATCCAGGGTGCTCCACCACTGAGCCCCATGCCCAGTCCTTTTTATTTTTTATTTTGAGACAACAGGGTCCTGCTAAATTGCTTAGGGCTTTGCTATGTTGCTGAGGCTGGCCTCGAGCTTGTGATCCTCTTGCCTCAGCCTCCCGAGTCTCTGGATTACAGGCGTATGTGCCCCTGTGCCCAGCCTCAGCACCGTTTTCCTGAGCGAATGGATGAATAAACTAAGGAGTAAATGGGTCAGAGAATGTCATCGTGGAAAGTCGGAACTTGACCTCGATTCTTGTTCCACTCTGTCTCTCACTAGCCTTTGGGTGAATCTCTTCGCTTCCCTGCCCTTTGATTTTCCCCATCTGTAAGTGAGGGGTCCACGGCTGGTGGCTGCCAAAGTTCTTTCCAATGCTTGAATTGTGTTGCTCCAAAAGTAACTGGAGTATGAGGAAAATAGAGAATGAAGTGATTTACATCTCTCTAGTTGAGGAGACTGAGGTAAGTAGTGATGTCACTAATAAGGACAGAAAGTTTGCAAAGGGATCTGTTGTTTAAGTACATTGAAGTGAGTTCGGTATTTTTCGTATTTTAATTTAACATCTAGCACGTGAATCTGTTCCCTTTATAAGCACACTGCCTTTCTGTCTTGGTGACGAGTCGTGAGCCTGAGGCAGAAGTGGGTTCGTCCCAGTGGGACTCCAGGTGTGGGGGCAGGGAGACAAAACCTGCAGGTGAAGGACCCTGGTAGTGCAGCCAAGCCCCAGGGGAGGTCTGCCCCAAGGACCCTCCCTCCCCAACAGATGCCTAACATGTGACTTCAGCCACCCACCGGGAAGTGGGCTGGAAACATGTGACCGGGACTCACTGTCACCAGAGTGGGACCAGCTTTGTGTTCCTGTGCGATGCTTCGCTTCACAACCTGACTGGCCCATTCTGACCCAGATGGCTTGGAAAGGTCTCGGGTCGACTCTGCCTGCACACAGCGCATTGTCCAAATCTGGGTTAGCCTTTGATTGAGTCAGCTTTTTCACCGCTGTGACAAAACACCTGAGAACAACACAGAGGAGGAAGAGTTTCTTTGGAGCTCACAGTTTGGGAGGGCTCAGTCCATACACAGCCAGCTCCGTTGCTCTTGGCCTGAGATGAGGCAGGATGTCACAGCGTGCAGGAGGAAAGCAGCTTCGGACATAGCCACCAGGAAGCAGAGACAGCGTGCCACATACCCCAAAGGCCCACCCCCAGTGACCCACGTTCTCTTGCCTGCAGTTACCACCCAGTTAGTCCATTCAAGTGGATTCGTGCTCTGGTTAGGCTAAGGCTCTCATAACCTGACCATTCACCTCTAAACTCTCCTGCAGTGTCTCACCCGTGAGCTTTCTGGGAACACCTCACATCTAAACCATAGCACCTTTCCTGAGATTGACGTGTGGCCACTAGAAAGCACCATCCAAAATGGGGGCAGCTTTGTGAAAGCAATTGCTACCTCCACTGACCTATGATGCTCCCAGGTACCGAGACCAGGGCTGCAGGGCAGGTGACGTGCCAAGCTTCTTGCTTGAGGTTGCTCCCGAGTTTCCAGAATGACTGTGGGTGCAAGAGGCTGCAGGAGGTGCTCTGTGAAGAGCAGATGCCCCTTAACCAGACTCTAGGCAGAGCTGGACCTGCCAGGTTCTCTGGAAAAGTTGGCAAATAGCAAATCGTTTTCAAAATGAGGCCTTAAGCACTTCATATGAATGTGAGATGTGTGAAGGAATATGATGTGCAGTCTTTGAGGTAGGACCAACTACTTCTCTTTCACCCCAGAATTAGAGCTCCTTTCTTAAATAAGCCGCACTCAAATCATCCAATTTGGGTCTTGTTAAAAATGCATCGAGAATTGCAAGACACTTTTGAAGCTTCCTGAACACTGGCCTCACCTAGATTTTTATTATTTTTTCCTTAGATTTTTATTATATTTTTTCCTATATTTTCCCAGCCACCTCACCTATGCCAAATTCACCAGCAGTTGCCTTAACTGTTCTCCTTTGCTAAATTATTGTAACCATTCAACAACAACTCTCCCTTTTCACGCCAAGTTCATTGGTAGGGATGCCCTTCAACTTAGGAAGGGGCAGTGTCCTGAGAAACCCAACCTAAGATGAAAACATCAAAAGTTGACAGTGCTTTCGGTACCTGTCACCTACCCAACATCATAGCTCAGCAGGAGAGTACACTCAGACCCTGGAGCCCAGAGCTGACTGGGAGCTGCGGCTCCCTGCCACCGCCTGGCGTCCCCAGAGTGGCAAACTGCATTTCATCTCACTAGCCTGGGAAGAGATCCACGTCTGAACTTCAATGTATGCTTTCTATCAGATGCATCTGGCTCTCACATCATAGTAAAGTCAAAAAAAAAATCATTAAGTAGAACCAACATTCTGAGACTGTGTGTCTCTATCATATTTGGTGAACTTACGTCGTCACAGTAACAAGGAAGCCTGACATAAGCAGATTTGGGGACAACTGGACCCGAGTCAGCACATGGTTAGACAATAGGAAGCAGGAGGGTGGGCATCCCGGAGAGCAGGCTGCTAGCTGTGGGGTTCCAGGGCACCATGGGCTGCTGTCAGCAAATGCTTCAGAGCAAAGGGAGCAGGGAGCTGGCCAGAGATCTCTCGCAGTAGTTAAGTTCCGACAGCTCTTCTGCGACCTTCTCTCCTGGTCGTCCTGTTCCTCATGCTGTTCACCTGCCATTTCCCTGGATCCTCCCACTTGGCACTGGAGCAGGAGGAAGACTCCCAAGAAGCAGAGCTAGGGAGAGGAGGTGATGGAGGCCACCTCTGGGGGAGGAAGGCCCTGAGGCTGGGGGCCCAGAACCCTTCCTAGAGCTGAGCCGAGAGCCCCACCTCGTCCTCCCTTTCCACTGCTGTCTCCTCCCACCTGGCAGGACAGGCCCAGGTGCTAGGGGCAGGGTTAGAGCTGAATTAGTCATAGTCCTGTCCCTAAAGAACCTTCAGCGTAGAGCAGGGGACGGTCAGTAAACACAGGAATTCAGGCCACGGACTTAGGTTATGTGTCGGGGATGCACAGACGGGACACTGAGCAGGGTCTTCAGAGACTAGTGGGAGGTCACCAGACAGAGGGAAACAGGAGAGAAGAGAGAAAGGCCATCATGTAGGGGACACGTGCAGAGGAGGGGAAATGGAAGTAGCTGAAAATGTGGTGGCCTTGTAAGCCTTTCTTCTGAGGCCACTGAAGATTCAGGTCTCAGACCCAGGGCAACGAGGTCACACTTGTAAGAATTCTCTGAGTGGAGGGTGTCTGGGTGCAGCAGCGTGAAAAGGAAGGAGAGGAGTGGCCAGGATTGGCAGGTGGGGTCCTCAGGGGATCCTGGCCTAGAGAGAGACTCCTGGAGGTCAGATGGCATGACCTCTCTTTGGAATATACATTCTTCACAGGACATAGTGGGCACAGTGAGGGCCAGGGGGCTGAATGCACAGGACAATGGGTGGATGGATGGATGGATGGATGGATGGATGGATGATGGGTGGATGGATGATGGGGGGATGGATGGGGGGATGGAGGGATGGATGGATGGAGAGAGAGATGGAGGGATGGATGGATGGTAGGTGGATGGAGGAATGGATGAATGGATGGGTGGGTGGATGAAGAGATGGAGGAATGGAAGAATGGATGGATGGATGGATGGATGGATGGATGGATGGATGGATGGATAGATGAAGAGAGAGGGATAGAGGAATGAAGGGATGGATGGATGGATGGATGGATGGATGAATGGATAGATGAAGAGAGAGGGATAGAGGAATGAAGGGATGGATGGATGGAGAAATGGATGAAGGGATGGATGAGTGGATGGATGAAGAGATGGAGGCATGGAGGGAGGGAGGGATGAGTGGATGGTTGGGTGGATGAAGGAATGGATGGATGGATGGGTGGGTTGGATAAAGAGATGGAGGTATGGAGGGATGGATGGATGCATGGATGGATGGATGGATGGATAGATAGATGGATGGAGGAATGTATAGATGAAGGGATGGAGGGATGGATGCATGATTGCATGGATGGATGGAAGGATGGATAAATGGATGGATGAAGAGATGGAGGGATGGAGGGATGGAGGGACACATGGGTTTATGATTCTACTGCTCTGCTGGTCTGATGCATGTTGCCCTTTCTCTTCCTCCCTCAGCCATCTATCTCTGCAAGAGGACCATGCAGAATAAAGCGAGGCTGGAATTGGCTGATTATGAAGCCGTAAGTGTGGCCGTTTCCCAGGCTAGGTGCGGGAGGGTCTCTAAGCTCCACGCTGGTATTTTCCCTTTCTTACCCCTCCAGCCCTTCCTACCCAGGGAGGGGAGTCTCTTCTATTTCCTATGTTCTCAGCTTCTCTCACCATCACAATAAAACTGCATTTTTATATAAATAACTCTCCAAACTCAGCAATAAAAGAATAATAAACAACTCCACATAAAAATGGGCAAAGGGACTTGAACAGATATTTCACCAAAGAGGACAAAAAGATGGTGAGGAGGCACATTGAAAAATACCCGATGCCAGTAGCCATTTGTGAAACAGATGGACTCCCTGGTGAGACTCCACCACCCACCTGTCAGAACGACTAGAATAAAAAATACTGATGGGCTGGGGCTGGGGCTCAGCGGTAGAGCACTCGCCTCGCATGTGTGAGGCACTGGGTTCGATCTTCAGGACCACATAAAAATAAATTAATTAAATAAAGGTATCGGGTCCATCTACAACTAAAAAAAAATATTTAAAAAAAAATACTGAGACTACTAAGTGGTGGTGAGCATGCAGAACAGCTGGAACCATCCTGTATTGCTGGTGAGGTGGCAAAATGGTACAGCCACTCTGGAAAATGGTTTTGCAGTTTCTTATAAACATACACTTACCATATAGCCAAGTAATCTCATTGCTACGTACATACCTGAACTAAATCAGAACTTATGTTCACACAAAACCCTATACACTAAGATCCACACCAGTTATATGTGGTAACTGAAAACAACCCAATGTGTGCTAACAGGTGCATGGCTAAAGTAGGATGATGTGTCCATACAATGAAATGCTATTCTGCAAGAAAAAGTGGCAGAGTCTTTCCCCCAAAACCGAACTCTATATGCAGTGCAGAAAATCGGGAAAATTGGCAAAATTGTGAACCTTCCACTTCCCAGTCCCTCCATAATCTCCAGCAGAGGTGTTGCTGAGCCACGAGAAGACTGAGGGGCCAGCCACCGTGGGAGGAGAGGCAACATTAAGGGCAGAGGACAATCCTTCCTTGGAAGGTCCGGCATTAACAACATCTTCAGACCCTCTCACCTTCCAGTTGCACTGTCTCAGTCTTCCCAAAGGATGATGAGGTCCCCCGCCGGGCCTTGCCTCTCTTGGGAACCTATGTCCCAGCTTTCCAAGCCACCAAACCCTCATTCCCCAAAGCAAATACGTGTGTGCCAGTGGAGAGGGGACCTGCCGAGGGCTCCCAGCCCTCTTTGATCTCTCTGGCATCTGGACCTGTGAATGGGAGGAGAGAGCACAAGAGGTCGTCCAAGGCTTGGGACCTGGCTAAGTCTGCCTATCAGATCCTATGAGGGGACATTCAATGGGACCTTCCCAAGCAAATCTGGCCTGGTGGCTCTGAGTGTTCTGGGAGGTCATTCCTGCCGCTGTCTTCCCTGATGCCCTAGAAGCCACATGACCCTTCTTCCCAAGGCTGTTTTACTCTTTATGTAACCAGGCAAGAAACTTGAACCCGACACCATGGCTTCCCTGACACAACCTGTAGGAAAGATCCAGACTGCGAGGGAAGTAGCCCCTCCCTCCTGTTTCTCTTCCCATGTACCCCACGGTTAGAAGTATAACTGCACCATCTCTGGGTGTGTTTTACTTGGTTTTCTCTTCTCTTGCACTGTAGTATTCTGCTCTGGCATTTGTAAAGAATATGGCATGATTTTTTTCAGGTGGAGGTAGGTTCTGAACAAACAAAGCATTTTGTTTTCAAAATGCAGTCATTTTATTAAAATTTTCTGGTTATATTCCCTTTGTAGAAAATAAAAATTCAAACAGTAAAAAAAGGAGAGATAATAACCTATGTTACCTGTGAATTCCCACCACCACAATTTTTCTATGCATACATTTTTTCTTTACAAAAAAAATATAGAATTATGCCAAAAACATTACTCTCTGGTACTTCTCTCCCAGTCCTATATGATACTTTCTGGGGAGACTTTCCATACCAGTAATACTAATCTACAGTATCATTTTTAATGGCTGCCTAGTATTCCATGGTGTGACTTTATCATCATTCATATAACTCTCCTTAACTGATTGACACTTAGTCATCACCAGCTTGGCTTCCTAGAAACAGTGCAAAGTCAAAAGGACAGATTTTTAGATGTACTTGCACACCAAGCTTTGGTAATAGCTGTGAGTTCATGTGTGATGCTCTTCAGTTGAAGCTCCCTTTATATTAATAATCCACTAATGAGGGTAATCAATTAGTGTTGGCATGAGCTCTATGAAAATACATAGCATAATGTGGGCTCTGGCCTTGCATTAATCAGAATTAGGAGGATCATTAAGGGCCCTGTCAAACTCCCCTCCTCACCAAATCCTAATGTTCCACTAGCTAAGTCTGCAGACTTAGAGAAAATACTTCTCTACTTTATTATTATTTTTTTAAAAAGCAACCCTTGATGACTTCCTTTCTCCTGTTTTTGGGCTTTCCTTTTATGAAAATCACAAAGAGAAACACCCCCTTTGGTCCACTTTGGAATCCTAACTTTAAAAATCGCTCATGCCAAGTCCTCCGGGTTCTCCTCTCCTGTGAACCTCCCAGGCTTGTCCTTGAGAGGTCCATCTTTGATTTGGCTCTTGGAGAGACCCAACAGGTTGCAAAGCCCCTGTCATTCCTTTCCCAACAGCCACACACCATTACGTTCTGCAGCCTTTATAACAAGTGCTAGGTGAGTTGTGTTCTTATAAAAACACACAAGAGGACAGGTATCCAGCGAACCACAGAGACTTCAAACTTAATGGATGTACAAATGAATATTAATAGTGCAGCTCTGTACAAGCAGAGCATGGTGCAAAGTCAAACTGTGTTCATGTCCGAAGGACTTAATGCAGGGCCCTGCTGTTTTGTCGGGGGTAACCAAAATGGATGGCCACCTTGTAATAAGCGTGGGTGTCAATGAGTTCACTTACGATGATTAATGCCTTTTTGTTGATTTCACTTCTCCCTAGGAAAACCTAGCAAGACTCCAGAGGGCGTTTGCAAGGAAGTGGGAATTCATCTTTATGCAAGCAGAGGCGCAAGTAAAGTAGGTGAACCTAACAGAGACCCTCTCAGAGGGAAAAAGACTCTCTGAAACAGGAGACGGTGTGAGGGTGGGATTGCTGAAGGGAGGCTCCCAGCTGTCATTCATCTCTTTGATCTCAGGAGGGCAGAACAGTAGAGAGTGAGTGCAGAGTGAGCTCAGGATGGATACATTTCATCCTTGGAACCAACGCAGCTCTGTAATAGTTTCAAAAGCACATGCCTCCCTAAGCAAGGGGACCTTCCCAGATGTAGACCTCTGCTTATAAGGTAGAGCTATTTGTCCAAGGTTTCTAATCAGTAGGGTTGGAGATTTGGTTCTCAGAGGAAAACATGCTGAAATTTTAGAGAAGACAAGTAGCCACTCTCCTCTTTTTCTCTAAAGGGTAGGAGTTTAAAATCAATTGTAAAATAAGACACAGAAGTCAAACATTTGGAGTCCATTAACTGAAAGATGATAAAGTGTGGCTTTGGATCTGTGGCCTCAAGTCCAAATTAAATCTGTACTTCCGGGGCAAAAACAGGTATCTGTAGGGCTCCTTACCAGACCTGAGCTGAGCTGACCCATCTAAGTTTACTGCATGCAGAGAAGGGATATCCTGCAGACAGACTGACCCAGACGGGGGCAGAGAGGGATCAGTCTGAGCATTCTCAATTTATTCTTTCAAATTCACCAATAAGTAAACTCATTCTTCCTCCATAAAAAGAAAAAAAAATAATAGGAGAAGAAAAAAAAATTGAAAGGATTTTTTTTTCATATTTTTCCCTCCCTGAATATATAGTAGAAATTCCTTCCTCTCGAAGGAAATATAAAGAATGAGGAATAAATGTCCCCGAGGCCACAAACATAGCCATCAACCAGATCCATGTGATTCTGGGACTTGGCATTGCTGTGGGAGGGTCTCCCCTGTCCTTTCCCGTGGGATCTGCTTTTGACAGCAGTGTCCATAGGAAGAGTGTGACTATGATGGGGTGGGGCAGGAATGTGGAGTGGGGAGAATACAAGTCCCCCTTTTCTGGGTGCCACTTGCATGTGAGCAGGCCCCGTGGGCTTTCACGCTCTATGAGTGGCGTCCCGCATCCCCTAGAGCTGGGTCTCGGGCTGCGTGGTGAGGATGGATCGCAGCTGTGGACACAGTTGTGAAATGACCTAAGGTCAGCTGGTCCAGTACTCTATATGCGGTCATTGCTGTCACCCTCCCTCTGCAGTCTCTGCCTGTCCCCTGCCCAGGATGCCAGCCTCCTGCTGATTACCCTAATTCTCCCAGCAGTCCCAGAAGGAGGTGGGCACAAGGCCCTGGGGTTGAGCTGCAATAAGCACTGTCTGGGGAAATCAAAGTTGGGAGAATGGGTGGGAAACCAGAGGGATTTGTATGGGCTGCAGGATAAATGAACCTGGTTACTCAGAAGCCACTGGGAAGCAGGGAGGAGCACAAATTTGCTCTTGCAGAATCAATTGGCATCACATGTTATAAAGGGAGGGGACATCGACATCGGCACTTTGTACATATATGGCATTTCTCCATTAACTTTTTTGATTAACTCTGTGATTGCATTATAATTGTGGGCCATTTAAGTACACAGTAATTATCACAAAAATCATGGGGTGATTACGGGTTTATTTCAGTCCAGTAAACTAAAGTGCTCCCAAGAGAGCCGGGAACCAGAAGTTACACGGCAATTAATCCGAGTTGCTTTTTACTTAGATAATGTGAAGTAACACATGCTTAAAAAAAAAAAAAGTCTTTTATCTAGGCTGCTGATTGGAACATAAATAATCTTGTCTTTGTCACCTGTAATTTCTCTCTTGCAATTTCTGTCTCCCCCACCTGAGACTGGTTATGTTTACCTTCTAAATCTTGTCACAGGCTAGGGCCATTAATCTGCCTTTAGAAAACCAGTTGGCTTCAGTGACTTTTAAAATACGTAATTGCAGCATTTTCAAGACATTTCTACTGGCTCTGAATCTAAAAGTAAACTTTCAGATTTGAGATGGAACACTGCCAAACCCGTAGTTCTATTCCTTCTTATAAATGTGTGGGGTCAGTATTCACTTCAAAGGGAAGGGGTGTGTCAACGGGTAATTCAGTTCTCAATAAACCACATCTTGACACTTTAGGGGGACAACTTCATTCTTGTTCTTCCCGCGGGTCCATCATGTTCTTGCACCTATATGGCAATCTATAATCCAGCCCTGGTTTCCTGGAGGGAACCATACACCTGCAGAGAGCAGGGACCACATAGGTGCCAACATCCTTGGGTGCAGCTTAGCTTCTAGAAATGAGAGCAGAGAACTGGGGCAAGGGTCCCGGTGGGGACAAAAAGCTCTTACTACCTCTCTTTCAGGATAGATCGGAAAAAGGACAAGACGGAACGGAAAATTTTGGATAGTCAGGAACGTGCCTTTTGGGATGTCCACAGACCAGTGGTAAGAAAGCCGTACTTTAGTTCTCCATGAGTGTGTGTGTGTGTGTATTTTTTCATTTTCCTGTTTTCTTCTCTACAAAGAAGAGACTGTCTCTAGTGATCAGGTGTCTTTCTTTTAAAAAGTGCTATGCTTTGTAAAATTGGTTTGGCCATTCATTTATGAAATCTCAGCAGATATTCCAGAATATGTCAGTTGCCACCTTTTAAAAAATATCCATTCATGAAAATATGGAAATGGAATGGAGGAGTGATAAGAATTCTACCGGGAAAACTTTGAGCCCCAGAAGTTGACATTCCCCTAAATTAACAATTTCCATTTTCCATTGTCTTTTAACTCTAAACTCTTGTCTTTCAAACACAGCTAGCTCTTGCCGTTGACAGTAGTGATGTTCTATAAGGAATCTGTGAACACTGAATTAGTGAATACTGAAGCATCCACTCTAGAGAAGAATAGCTCTGGGTTCCTGCGAGCCTCTGGTCACATTTTTGTCAACTGATCAATATGTAAATTTGCTGAATGTTTGTTCCAGTGTAAAAAATGCCCCTACTTAACATGAACCAGCACATGAACGGTTGGTTCATTAACTTTGAACTCACAGCCATAACCCATTCCAGAGTGAAGCTCATCTAACTCGTATTTTTTCCTTGGGGCATATCCAAGCCATTTTGCACTTAGGATCACCTGACAGCACTCTAGCACTCTGCTTGGGAACCATTGTAAACAGAAAAACCACCAACCAAAAATCCAGAAATGCAAAAAACTTGGTGCTCCGTAAATTCTAAACAGACTGGTTTACCGTATGAGGCCTGAAGTGAGAAGGCAGTATGTCACCTTATTCAACCTGGTCTGGGCTCATGCACGTGGGGCAACTCGATATCTTTGGCATCCTATCCATATCTGTTAAATCCTTGAAAATACTGATTCAGGTTACAAATAAATTTTAGCAACTGGCCATCTTGCCACTTGAATAATAAGTTTGCTCTTAGAAACCGTACACTATACCCGCCCCATATCATCCTTACCAGAAGGTCAGAATGAGGCGTTCTCACAGGAACATAAGAGCCTACGTTATAGCCCAATGAAAACCTTCATGAATTATCCGTAATGGGGAAGCTAGAGGTTTGTTCTGATGGTGTTACTTGGGCTAAATAATTTATACGATCTTCTTCTCTCAGCCAGGCTGTGTGAACACAACAGAAATGGACATCAGAAAATGTCGGCGTTTGAAGAATCCACAAAAGGTTAAAAAGGTTCGCTCGTTGAGCTGAATTAAAACTTCTTGGTGCCAATAGCCCTTCCATTTCTGGTATTCTCCACGTAATAATTTTCTATTTGGAAATCTGCCCTATCTTAACTTCTGAAACCATTCTATTAGTAAATTCTAGAAGTATCTATTGAGTGGCTGGTGGGTGCTGGGTACCATGTTTGCTGCTGGGCTTCAGGTTCTCAGAGAGCCCACAGTTGGGTGGAAATGAAACCAGTCAATAAGCCACCAGGCCAGGAGGGCCACCTTAGGGAAAGAACAGGCTGGTCAGGAGCCCCCAGGAGGGCAGCTAAGCCAGACTGAGGTTTCCCCAGGGCATCCTGAAGTCACGCACACCCACACACACAGAGATTGAGTGTCTCCTATCCAAAAATGCTTGGGACCAGAAATGTTTCTGGTTTTGGATTATGTTTCTCAGAGTTTGGAATGTTTGCATATACATAATGAGAAATCTTGGGAATGGGACCCAAGTCTGAACACAAAATTTATTTATGTTTCATATACACATAGCCTTGAAGGTAGTTTTATATAATTTTTTTTTTTTAGTGGCCTGTGTTTTAACTGTAACCTGTCACATGAGGTCAGGTGTGGAATTTTTCAATCTACTTTTCAATCACACAACTTATCAATCGGCCATGTATTTTGTTTGTCACTGAGATAACAATGCCTACTGAATTATACTTTAAATTATTAGTCCTTGTCTTAAATGTTCTCATTTAATCTTTAAAGTCCCTAATTCTAACTCTAATATCTAGAATTTTATGGACCCATGGACCTTATCACCTGATCAGAACCCTTCTTGATTTTATAGATGTCAGCCCCACCCTGCGTGTCCTTCAGGGCTTTGTTTCTTTCCTAACACAAAAGGTGGCCTTTAGTCTCTTCCCAACACTAGGAACCGCTTTTAAAAAGAGCCATAGCTTTTAGACAAGCAAAGAAACTGAGGCCAGAAATCCATTTCACTTAAAAAAGAAAACCTGAAATGCTGCATCTCAATTTGGTACCAGATGGGCCTGTCATCTGCTGCCATGCAGAAAATTTAGAAAGGATTTTTTTGCATATAACCTTGAGCAGTTACTCTTGAACTTTCTTTAGCCCCAGAATCACCTGGGACATTTGATAAAAGTGCAGATCCTCAACCTACCCACAGCAGGTCTGGGGGGAGCTCCGTGAGATGTGTCTTTACCAAGTGCCCCCAGGTGATTCTTCACAGATGGCTCATGGGCCATATCTGGAAAAACAGTGACATGCAAGGAAACCATTTCAACTTGACAAAAGGAAGGATTTCCTAGCAGTTGTCACTCAAAAAATGAGATGAGATGCCCCAAGAGGCAGAGTTCACATCATTTGAGAAATTCAAGCAGAGGCCTGTCACTTTTGTGTGGATGTCATAGAGGGACCTGGAAGAATCTGATGAGAGGTTAAACTAACTGACCCTTCGCCACCCCTCAAACTCTGAAGGTACATGATCTTATTCTTGCTTCTTCTAGTCCGTGTACGGTGTGACGGAAGAGTCCCAGTCTCAGAGTCCTGTGCACATACCCAGTCAGCCAATCAGGAAAACTACAAAAGAGGACATCCGGAAACAGGTGAATGATTCGCCACAGCTGCCCTCCCAGGACAGAACAGGGTTGATTTAAAATCCCCTTTAACCTTCACCTCTGCAGACCAGGAGAGCTTGGAAACCACTGTGGAATCCATCAGTGGGAGACTGGAACCTTTGAGTGCAGTGTGAACAACCCATGAGAAGCTGGAAGAGTCTCCAGCAACAGTTCTTAAAGAAGCACAAAATGAGTAGTCACAATGCTGGGGCTGAGCCCTGTGGTCCGGGTTCCCACCCACTGCTGTGGAGCTGGGGGAGATAGGGGATCATATCCCAGGACCCTTAAAAGTACACTGCACTTCCAGAGACCCCCACCAGCTCAGCACCACCAATGCTATTGCTGTGGTTCAGAAGGAAAGCTTAAGAATAGCCAGGTGTGGTGGTGCACACCTGTAAACCCAGCAACTTAGGAGGCTGAGGCAGGAGGTTTGCAAGTTCAAGGCCAGCCTCAGCAACTTAGCAAGGCCCTGAGCAACTTAGTGAGATCCCTGTCTCAAAATACAAAATAAAAAAGGCTGGGATGTAGCTCAGTAGTAAAGCACCCTGAAGTTAAATCCTCAGCATTAAATATATTTAAAAATAAAAGAATAAAGTAAGCCCTATCCCAATGCCATTTGAGCATGATTTAATTTAATGTCATCTTCTTAACATTATAAGAAGCCCAGATCAACAGAGAATGCTTAATTACATCACTCCCTTCTGATATTTACTAATACTGAGGCAACTTTGAGACTTACTCTTTGTATCATGCTTTACCAGCCTCTGAAGGGGGATGGGTTTAAAGAGTAAATTTTGGGTATCTTCCCCTGGCACATTTATTATTAGGTCAGGAAGAAGAAACAGACATCTGCAATGTAGCTCTTTGATGATCGATTCAAACATGCCAAGCACACAGGGTAATACGTGTGTGAAAGGTGGGCAGAGGTGATGGCCACTGGAATTCAGGCAAAATACATTTTTATGGTGCACATCTTAACTCTGTGCTGTTCCTAAGCTTTGTAGAATATATGTTGCCTTTAAGTTTTAGGAATAGCTTTTGGGAATCCAGACTTAAATTATAACATGCAGGCAAGTACGTGCCCTAGGCTAAATTGTAGAGTGAGAATCCTAAAGTATCCTAGGATGTTGGTTGGAGGCGTACAAAGCCAGAGGGCAGGAGAAGTCTTGCCAGAGGAGGTATTCAGCTCTTGGTGGAAATGGAGGATCTGGCTCGTGGAATGAACTGGGGGGAAAAGAATTCTCTTTTGGTCTTCAACATCTCTGTTCTCTCTTTCACCCAGATAACATTTTTGAATGCACAGATTGATAGACACTGTTTGAAAATGTCCAAAGTGGCTGAAAGGTATGTTTTCCCTCAATAATTTTACTGCTTTCTTCTTATAGTTTATAGGGGGGAAATGTTACAGGCTTATAATTAACAAGTGCGTTCAACTTCGAGAGTTAGAATGTAGTTACTCCTTAAACTGACATATTAGAAAAAGAAAGAAAGAAAGAAGCAGACTCCATGTGAATGTAGCTAAGATAACAGGCCTCTCTTGAAGGATGTCAAGAAATGTCCTGTGGCTAAAACTTCTCAGGGGGTGGCCCCAGGACCTTGTCAATCAGGGAAGAATGTCCTTAAAAGCTCCAGCATGCTTCTTTGCCTTCTGCCTCTTGATGAATTCAAATGGAATCGCTCCCTCTCCAGCTGTAAAATGCCCAGATTCACTTTATAGGGGAAAGAAATTCTGTGTGCCCTTTGAGGAGCCGGCCACGTAAACAGGAGGGGATTGGATCCTCCGGAGGTGTTCCGCTTCCACACACCATCAACCACTGAACTGCATCAAATCAACTGTTAGGAAAATATCTGGCCACCCCCAAGCCTGGCTTTCACGGGAGCATTTGTGCTTCAATCTGCACCAGTGGCTGGTTCCACTCCGTTAACTCGTGGGAGATTCAATTTTATCAACTAAATGGTGTGTTTTTTGAACTCTTCGGTGAAGACGGGAGACCACCTGGGGAATCCGTATGGAATAAATCTAATCAGGCCGTCCAGAACTGAACATTTGTTCATCCAAATGCTGCCGTTCAACCAGTGACCAATTTCTGGAGGAATCAAGGGCTTAAATGGGGTCTTAGTGTTTATTGGCGGCTTGTTTAGGGGACTGTACGATCCACCTGTAAGCCTTTCCCTGCCATCCCCTGGGTCCATCCACACCTTTAGATAAATAATGACAAATGGAAGCTAAGAAAATTCCATTCCCAAATCAAAACCCTGAATTAACACTCTGCCTTTGAGGGCCAAGGACATCTGTGGATTTGGATTCATGTCTTTGGCAGCATGTTATATCTATTCCAGGGTTTCTTGATAATGGCACCGTTGACATTCTGGGCCAGAATTGCTCATTGTGTTTATAATGTCCAATATGCGATAAGATATTTCACAATATCCTGGATGCCTACCTACTAGAGGCCAGGAGTTCCTGCACCCACTGTTGTGACAACCAAAAATGTCTCTAGACATTGCCAGAGGTGGGGGGGGGGTACAAAATCACCCCCACTGAGAATCACAGTATTCCTATTTTCCCTAAAGCAGTTGCTTCCAGAGGTTGCTAATGATTAGAGCCCCACTCACAGTCAACTGCCACCGGTTCCAGAATTACAGTCACAGCTCACTCTGCCGGCTACAGAGCTACCCCACACACCCCTTTCATCGTGCAAGGCTCTGGCCAGAGCGTCAGACTCTGAAAGTGGTTTTTATGTCTCACTCTGGTGCCTTTGCCCCCAAAGAAGGTCTGAGAAGGAAATTGCACTGGTTTCAGACCTCCAATGCACTGGTTTCAGAGCTCGAGGAACTACATGCCTCTTTCTCTGTGAAACAGGGACAGAAATTGATGTGCTGGCACACTGTGAGGCCTGTGGGCTAGCAGGGCTAAGGTCTGGCTTGGAAGGGCTCCTTAGAGTTTGCAGTGGAGGCAGGAGACCCTTTCCCCTGGGCCTCGCTGCCCAGATTCAGGGTGTGTGTGTGTGTGTGTGTGTGTGTGTGTGTGTGTGTTGGGCAGGGTGGGAGGAAGGGCAGTTAAGCAAGTTCAACAGTGAAAATTCCCAAGCCTCTGCCCTAGGGATTCGGATCCACTGGTAGACCCAAGAAACCTACATTTTTGGATAATCTTCAAGTTCACTCATCTGATCTCTGAGGATCTGGTGAAGCCATTGGCAGCTCCTCAGAATCTCAAACTGACCCAAGAGTTCATGTCAGGAGAGTCACCAGCTATGTCTTATCTCTGGGGTGTGGAGGAACCACTTGAACCAGGTGTGCTGAGGCCAGCAGGGACAGGGAGAAAACCCAGGTGGGGAGGGGGCGGGGCCTGGAGCCTCCTATTGTTTGTTTGTTTACCGGCTCCCAGGGAGGAGCCCACCTGGAATGTCTAATTATGCTTGAGAGCTGCTCACATCAAGGGATTAGTCCAACCGCAGAGCCTCACTCCCCAGCTAGAAGCTTCCAGGAGCCTGACCCCAGCAGAGGCTGGATTTTATTCCCAGCAGCAATAACTGGCAACTCTTCAAGATGACAGGAGGTTTTTCATTAGAGCCACAAGGAAACTCCCAGATAGGGAGGAGGAGGGAGAGGAAGCCGGGTGTTAGCAGGAGATAAAGCATCCCGGAGCTGGGCTGTCTGTCAGCTGGCTGGGCTCCACGGAGGTGAGGCCAAGGAGGTGGCCCTGGCAGCTAGCCAGAGGGGAAAGCTGAGCTCTCGCAGGTGGGCCACACAGCTGGGCCCGCTCCAGGTGATAAGTGGTAATTAGTCAGGACTGCATCCCCCAGAGGAGAGTTCCCCATATTTTTTCCATTTAGTCCCCTGAGTTTGGGCAGGCCGGTGATAGCAAAGGCCCTGTTCTGAAAAGACAAGAGTCAGCGTGGGGTTAAGAGCACAGACAGACCTAATTGGGAGGGAATAAGGAAGCTTTGCAAACTACAGGAGCTGCATAGACCACCGTTTAGAGGATGGGGACAGCTGTGGAGGTTTGACTCCCCCCTCAGCCATTTCCTGTTTCCTAATTGAGGAAGCCCATGGCTTCATCTCTCTGTGCCTCCTTTCCACCTCTTTAAAGGAAAGAGGGTAGTGGTGCTTAGTTGGCAGGCAAGAGCTTGGTCTGGTGCTTGGCCCTCAGTACCCTCACGATGGATGTGAAGGTTATTATTTTCCGGAAGGTGACTAACGGTGTTTTGGAAAGGAGCAGGATTCAGGTGTGTGAGATGGAATGAACTGAGTGTGCACTGCTCAGAGGAGCACAGGTATGTTGGCTTTCCACCTCTGTGACAAATACCCGAGAAGTTCAACTTAAAGGAGGAAAGATTTATTTTGGCTCATGGTTTCGGAGGGTTTAGTCTACTGTCAGCTGGTTCCATTGCTCTGGGTCCAACGCAAAGGCAGAACATCATGGTGGAAGAGCATGGCAGAGGACAGCCACTCACTCCATGGCAACCAGGAAGCAGAGGGGAAAGAAGCAGGGCAAGGGACAATACCCTTCCAGGGCACACCTCCAGAGACCTACTTTCTCCAACTAGGGTTCACCACCTGCCATTTCCCCACCTCCCAATAAGACCTTCAAACATTAGTTCCTCGATGGAATCCACTGATGGGTTAAAGCTCTCCTGACCCAATCACTTCCCCAAGTCCCCACCTCTGAACATGGATTGCTGCGTTGGAGCAATCCTTCAACACATGAGCCTTTAGGGGACGGTTCAGATGCAAACCTTTAACAACACCAGGCTTTAACATAGGACAGGCTAATGCAATTCTTCCCACCCGCCCTCTCTTCTTCTCTGTCTCCCACTCAGAAAGCCCTGCAGGCAGCCAGAGGCTGGTGCTGCAGCCCACAATTTAGGTGGCTCCCTCCTCTGCTTCCATGGCACTGCTAATCTGGAGCCTCCGGGGAGAGAGGGACCTCGCATGCGGAGACTGGCTCTTCTGCACAATTTTCTCAGGTCACCCCAATTTCAAATATTCTGTCCATTGTCCCCACAAATGTTAAAATGCCCCTGAAATCCCAGCATCCTGGTGACCAAGCTGCATTTCCCAGGGTGCCTTTTGTACCCAGAAGCAGCACCAAAGCCCACCTGAGGTATCAGTTTTCGTTTCACACACAAATGAGCTTTCCAGACAGATACCACTGAATACTTAAGCTTTTGATTTTAACTATTTTAAGTGAAAATCTTTCTTAAAGATCATTTGCATACTTGCTTTCTTAAAGAAAGGATGCTACATGTCAGTTACTTCTGGATGACATGGGCCGTATATTGTGCTGTAAAGTTCTGTCGGTGATCAGGATCTTAAGAGGTTCCACAATCTGCTTTCCCTTCCCCAAATGGCCCCAAACCATTCTGCTCTTTGAGTCCCTGTTTTTAGGTTTTTAGTGTGGGCTTGTTTCCTTCTTCCTATCCACATGCTTGTCTCTAGCAGCCCTTCCTTCCTAACCAACATCCCTTCCCAATCTGTGGCTGACTGGTTGTGTCAGTTAGCTATGGCTAACTAGCAAAGCACCCCAAAATACGGTGGCTTAAAACCTACAGTACTCTCCCCTTATCTACAAGGGATTCATTCTAAGACCTCCAATGGATGCCTGAAACTGCAGCTAGTACTGCGCTCTCTATACTATTTTTTCCTATGCATACATACCTGTAGTAAAGTTTAACTTGTAAATTATGTGCAGTAAAAGATTTAAATAACCTATAATAAAACAGAACAATCCGAACAATATAGTATAATAAAAGTTACATGAATGTGGTCTCTCTAAATAACTTTTGGTACTTTCACCTTTTCACTTGAAGTACTTTATGGCTTCTTTTTGGCTCCTCTGAATTACTATCATCACTACTCTGGCACTTTAGGGGTCATTATTAAGTAAAACAAGGACTACTCAAACACAAGCATTGCAATGCCATGACAGTGGATCTGATAGCCCAGATGGCTACTAAGTGACTAACGGGCAGGTAGCATATACAGCATAGATACACTGGATAAAGACATGATTCATGTCCTGGGTAGAGCAGAAGAGCTCAAGATTTCATTATACTACTCCAACCAGCAAGCAATTTAAAACATGAATTATTCATTCCTAGAATTTTCCATTTAATATTTCTAGGCTGCAATTGACTATGGATAACCAAAACTACAAAAAAGAAAAACCATCCATAAGGGAGGACTGCTGTATAGGCCTTTTTTTAATATGTATTTTTTTTTAGTTATAGTTGGGCACAGTATCTTTATTTTATATTTATATGGTGCTGAGGATTGAACCCAGTGCCTCATGCATGCTAGGTGAGCGCTCTACCTCTGAGCCACAATCCCAACCCTGTATA